AAGTTTTTGATAAAAACAATCCACAGGACTTTGTGGTCCCTATGTCCTCCAGCAGTCTAAGCCTATAGCAGCATAACTATAGAGATAGCTCAGGATAACCTGAGCCACTCTAACTAGAAGCCTTATCAAAAAAGGAAAGTTTTGACAACCACTATTGAGCATTTTTTTCTTTGGATAAACTTTACATGCACAAGTGCACTTTAACAAACAACTACAGGTGTTTGGTTCCAGGTACTAAGAGATTCACTTCTATACAGAAAGTCCATATTCTTATCTTCAGGTAACAAAGAATACATGTCAGATTAAATAACACTACTTATACTTCAGCAATAGTATCTAGGTGTTACTTTATTGTCTGTCTTGTACCATGTCCGTTGGTTGTGCTGTTCTTTTACATCTCTTTGCAGATGAAGAAGCAGACTTAAGATGTTTTATCGTTAACTCCCCTTTATCTCCTCTTTCTTTCAACTTTTCTCCTTTTTTTCAGTTTTTCCTTTCCTGTTCTACTTACATTGTGTCCATATAATCTGTAAAACTCCCTGCATAATTATAATAAAGCTATTTATATGCATAGCTGTAATGCTTCACTTGTGAAAGTAAAATCTGTTGGGCTCTTTTTGGCAATTATTCTTATTGCCACATTGCTAGACAGGACACTGTTACAAAAAAAAGGAAAGTTTTAAGACTACCCTTAAAAGTTTATTTCCTTATTAGAACTGATGTTGGCAAATTATTTCATCAATGGTATTAATTGCCTTTTATTGGATTCATCCGCATTTTCCTTGGTGTTTGTGTTGATTTGTTTGGGGTTTCTAAAGTAAAGTGGACTGGAACAAATGACATGTAGATGTTAGGACTGCAGCAGCTGACAGGTCAGGGTGGGGACTGATAGGGGAGTGTCCCGCAGCATAAGCAGCGGCTCTGTGCTCTCTGCAAAGCCGACTCGACGCCTCTCTGCTCCCGCTGCAGCTCGGAAGCGCTCCCCATCGGCTCTCTCACTCCAGCACCCGAACATCCACCCATCCGTCCGAACATCTCCACATTCAGGTATGGTCTGCAATATAAACAATCTCTGATTTATCCAAATCAAACGCTTGACGTGGCGCAAAGGCAGATTACAGAGTTATAAACCGGGCTTTACTGTAGCCTAATTATGGCCCCGATCGGAATAACGGACTGATCTAGAAACAAAGTCATTTATTCTATAGGGGGCTTTTTAAGTTCATTTTTCTTAATATTAAATGTAAATAGAGACAAAAAGTCATATTGTATTGTATTTTCTTTTGTGCGACGCAGCATTCGTCATGTCTGAGGAGCTGAAACTGCAGTTTGATTTCTGTGGTTGATCACTCACTTGCTCACTTCCACGCAATGCGTGTCAAAATGTACAAGTATGGCAAGCAATTCTGCCTTTATTCAAAATCTGTGCCATTAGTTGGCATTTTCAACTACTGCACTAGATCCACATAAACACACCTTACCAACTATATGTCTTCATTCAACAACTTTGAGCAGCATTCCTATTAATTATGTTTAATTGAATTTAGTTTATTTCTATACATTTAACTATGGTAATGATAACAGCATTAGGTTTCCATATACTGACCAAGTCTGTGGTCACAATGAAGATGCACAATTCCCTTTAGATAGGAACAGTTCTCAGCATTGGCGGTTCTAGAGGAATTTCATCAGAGGGGCCCGGGTGGGGCCAGTATTTTTTCATGTGGGCACAGAATTAAAGCATTGAACAAAAGAAGAGCAATAGTTAATTCCTTGATATATTAAAGGTATTGTAGAGGATTTTTGCATTTTTTTTTTGAAAGACCCGCCCTCTCCACTTGCACATGCACAACCCTGTACACCTTTATTAAAGGGAACGCCTATTTAAAGCTACAGTGTGTAATAATTACAGGGATATACAGTCAGAAATGTAATATATTATACATAACTATGTTATATATCATCATCTACGAGCTCAGCCTCTTA